CCCTATAATGTGAATGTTGTTGCATTTAATGTTGTCCCAGTGGTCTCTTAGGCTGTCTTCTGTTCCGCAGCAATGAATTCCACCATTCTGTCTTCCAGGTCACTTATCCGTTCTTCTGCCTCAGGTTTTCTGCTATTGATTCCTTCTAGTATAGTTTTCATTTCAGTTATTGTATTGTTCATCTCTGTTTGTTTGTTCTTTAATTCTTCTAGGTCTTTGTTAAACATTTCTTGCATCTTCTCGATCTTTGCCTCCATTGTTTTCCCGAGGTTTTGGATCAGCTTCACTATCATTATTCTGAATTCTTTTTCTGGAAGGTTGCCTATCTCCACTTCATTTAGTTGTTTTTCTGGGGTTTTATCTTGTTCCCTCTTCTCTTACATAGCCCTCTGCCTTTTCATCTTGTCTCTCTTTCTGTGAATGTGGTTTTTATTCCACAGGCTGCAGGGTTGTAGTTATTCTTGCTTTTCCAGGGTATACTTTCTCTTTGAGTGCAGTCGAATGTGTACAAAGATACATCATATCCTGGACCATATTTTAAGGCTCAGTAAATTTCAAAATTGAAAATTTTACAGAGTATATTATCTGACTACAAATTGTCAAAATGTTTTAAATCAAAACACACTTCACATAATAATAGCTCAAAGAAAGTCACAAGAGGAATTAGATTATTTTTCTCTGAATAACAACAAAATATCAAAATTTGTAAAAGACAGTTAAAGCAGTACTTAGAGGGATATTTATAGCTTTAAATGCTTCTATGAGAAAAGATAAAAAGATTAAAAGTAATTATCATGCTCTTGATCTTGAGGAGTTAGAATAAGAACAAATTTAAAACAAAGTAAAAGGTAAAAATAACAATAAATAATATAATCGATGATGTTGAAAACACAATAAAGAAAATTAATAAACTAAAAGTTGGTTCTTTAATAAGGATCCTCTAAAAAGACAGATCAAGGACAAAAATAAAGGAAATTACCAATACCAGAAACAAAAGAGTGGATATAAGTACAGATGCTACAGTTTTTAAAAGGATACAGAGAGAAATATAACTATTATGCCAATAAATTTGGCAAGTAAGATGAAATTGATGAATATTTGAAAAACTCGATTTAATGAAACTGAGGAAATAACAAATCTGAATATATGTGTAGTTAAATTAAAAAAAAAATCTCTTGACAAGTAAAATAACAGACCCAGATAGTTTCACTGTTAAGTTCTATGAAAAAAAATTATCACATAGATGCAGAAAAAGCACAAAATTCAATCCAATTGATGATAAAATTCATAATATCCTAGGAGTAGAAGGGACGTTTCTTATTCCAATAAGGATGTTAAAAATCCTGCAGGTAACATCAAAATTAATGGTGAATTATTGAATGCTTTTCTTTAAGATTGGGAACAAGGCAAGGGTGCTTATTCTCACCACCTCTGTTTAGCCTGGTATTAGATGTCTTAGGTGGTGAATAGTTCGTAAAAGAAACAAGAGGCATAAAGATTGGGGAAAAAAGTAAAACTATCTTTTTCACAGATGTAATATGAATTTTTACAAAGAAAGTCGTGTGAAATCTACAAATTACTATGATTATGAAGCAAATTTAATCACGAGATACAAGGTTAATATACAAAAATTAATTGTTTCTGTCTACTAGAAAAAAATAAAAATCTGTTTACTAAAGCATCAACAAACATGAAATAATTAGGATTTTTTGAACAAGATATGCTGAAATCAACAAACTATTGCAGAAATTAAGGAAGACCTAAAATAATGGGAGAGAGATACCATATTTATAGGTTGGAAGGCTCAATTTAGTTAAGTGGTCAATTCCACCAAATTGATCTGTATATTCAATACAATCCTTATCAAAATCACAATAGGATTTTTGGTAGAAATAGAAAATTTGTTTTTAATATGATAATTCAAACAGTGCAGAATAGAGAAATTAATCTTGAAAGAAAAGACCAAAGTTGGAAGACACATTTTACCTGCTTTCACAGGGTACTTCAAAGAAATCGTTTTCAAGATCAGGTGATATTGATGTAATGGTAGATAAATAATAAATGAACTAGACTGTAGAGACCAGAAGTATCCACACATACGTGGTCAATTGATATTTCCACAAATGTGACAAGACAATTTAATGGAGAAAAGAAGTCTGATAATTGGTATTGGAACAGCTAGCTAAATATATGAAAAATAATACTTAAAAATTAGTTCTTACTTATGCTACATAAAAATAACTTGAGATGGATAATAGATACAAAAGTAGAAGCTTTTATAGCCTGCTGCAAAGCTTTCATTAAACATAGGAGAATCTCTCTATGAACTCTGAGTAGACAGTGAATTCTTAGAAATGACCCCAAAAGCACTAAATATAGCGGGAGAAAAAAATGATACGTGGGACTTAATCAAAAATAAACATTTTCTATTAATCTATAAACAGTATTATAGAGTGAAATGGCAAGTCACATACATATATCCGAAAAAGAGTTTGTATCCAGAATATATAAAGAACTAAATATCAATAATAAAAAGACAAAAAAACTAATAAAAAATGGGCAAGAGACTGTCTACAGGGAGTTCATAATGAGCGGATAACAAAGGCCAATGATTACATGAAACTGGGCTAATATATTATTCAATAGGGAAATTCAGGTTACAAATACATTGCAATAGCATTACTCATCCAGTAAAATAACTAAATTAAATAGATGTCAATATCTGATGTTGGTGAGAATGTGGAGCAGCTAGAACTCTTTTACTGCTGGTGGGTATGTACAATGGTACTTTGGAAAGCAGTTTGGCATTTTCTTATAATGTTAAACATAGACCCATCCTATGATTTATCAATTTCTTTCTAGGTATTTACCCAGAGATATGAAAACATATGTACACAAAAAGATTTTACAAGAATGTTTGTAACAGCTTTATTTATAACTCAGGACTGAAAACACCAGAAATGTCCCTTGATAGAAAAGTGAAAAATCATTTGTGGTATATTCACTGGATGGAAAGTAATCAGCAATAAAATGAATGATACATGTAACATCTGAGAAACTAAAAAAGAAGACCAATACAAAAGAATATATACAGTATGGCCCATTTTTATAGATACAAGGACAGGTAAAACTGATCTATGGTGAGAAATTTGAGCAACGGTTACCCGTAAGAAATGTGATTTGACTAGAGGTAGGCATAGGAGAACTTTCAAGGATGATAGAAATATTCTATATCTTTAATGATATGATGGTTATATAGGTATCAAAGCACATGTGGCAAAACACACCTGATGGTACAATTATGGTCTGTGCATTTCATTATATATAAATTTTTTCCCCTACCCCCCAAAAGTGTGAGGCTTGTAGAGTCAGATATTCTGAATTTGAATCCAGGTTCTCCTCTAACTAATTATCAGATTTTAGGCAAGTTATACAACCTCACAGAATTGCAGTTGCATAAGTATTGTGGGAATAATAATAACCCCTATCTCACAGAGTCATGAGAAGCAAGTGAGGTAATATATGGAGAATAATTACCAGGGAGCTAAGTGCTATCTCAATTAAAAAGACATGTCTTACCATAAAAAGAGACTATGGGTTCTAAAAAATTATTATTGTAAACAAATAATTAATAATGAAGTCAAATGTTATTAGTGATGAATCAACCACTTTACCATTTAGACAATTTTCTGTCCTGTACACCTTGAGTATTTGAGGAAAACACATTGTCTTACTAAGAAGACACATTGAACTCATTTTAACTTTTTAGTATTCCTTAATATAGCTTATTTTCTTTTCCATCTTTGTTGTAAGACAGATAGTTCTCATATAATTTTAGGCATATATTTTGCATTTTTTGGTTTATTTGGTTAAACACTATAAATACTTTTTATGGCTAAATGCCTTTTTAAACAAATAGTGAACTACAAAAATAACAGTGTCTTAAGTAATCTAAGCTTTATTAATAAAGTATATTTTCAATTTATGTTGCACCTAGGAATCACAAAATTTTAGGATTTGCAATAGATTAGTGAAAGCAGGGCATTTTCAAGATTTACTGTTGCTACCCGTTGTTATGTCATCTGGAGGTGTTATATTAAATATGAAATATTTCTGATGCATTAAATCAATTAATGCCTTTACCAAACTTCTTTATAATGTTAATAAAGTAAATAAATCTTTATTTACTGTTTACACTGTTCCCAGTAAGACACTGTGATACCAGTTGAGATATCAATGGAGAAGGAATGAGCTGGTGGACTTAGGATATTTGTGGCAGTTTCTAGTTAATAGACCAGAGACTGATAATTGTTTATGAGGCCAAATTCAGGTGACAGGTATATTTTGCTCAGTCAGCACTGTGTTTTACAAAAATATTGTTTACTGTCACTTAAAATTGGGAGCTTTCCAAATGAATATTCAGATTTCTGACCTCATCTCACATATTTAAAATCGACAACTCTGGGTTGGAAATGTTCATTTCCACAAGCCAAAAATTAACTGGAACTGAGTTGCAAGGAGTTGCTTCCTTTAGAGAGGGCATCCATCAGGTTTTCCACAGACACTACCCAGCCAACCTCATTCAAGTTACTGCCAGGCTTAATAAACCCTCCTCACTAAGAAAAGGAAATAAGTAGCAAAGCAACAAGAAAAACTGCAGTTGGCACTATGCTTTTATTTAATAGGCACTAAATATTTGAGGAAGGGAGGAAAACAAACTAGGGGAAAAAATGCTATGATAAAAGAGATGAGAAGTTGGATAGGACTCTTGCTTCCAACTTCAACAGCTATTAATTTAATTGCCAAAACATTTCTTTTTTATGTTGTGCATGGGTAGGCTTTGAATTATTATGTTAGCATAGACTACTTTGCTCATTTACTACACATCTACCCCTAGACATTGCCCTTTTGAAATACCTCATGTTACTGTTTTTCTTGATTCAAAGAATAGTCTGACATATTATTATTAAAATGCAAATCTTTGTTTGGTTTTTACAAAGGCTGAAGAGATAACTTTAACAATTGGCCAAGCATTTGACCTGGCATACAGGAAATTTCTAGAATCTGGAGGAAAAGATGTTGAAACAAGAAAACAGATTGCAGTGTTACAGAAAAGAGTGAGTAAACTAAGCTTGTTATTTCACATTTATGTGATGTAAGTACAGGGAAACTTGCATATCATCAAACAAATATAGAAGGCCTGCCATTAAATTCCCGCCACACTGATTGGAACTGCTTTCACTGTGTTCCTATAATTTTTCATTCCTGATCCCCTGCACAGTTTTTAACCATTTTATATTGAATTCCCACAAGAACTTAGTGTTCTCATGTGACTTTGCTTCACTTCCTGATGCTTCTCATGGGGATCAGAGCAGCAGAAGCAGCAGATGCTGGGTAAGTGGTTTCCCATGCAGATCAGATTCCTTTATAATAAATTACACCCTTTCTCCACTCTCTTCAAAATCATCATAAGCAAGTTTCACTGTCTCGCAGTTATACTCCAAGATTATGGGTACAGATTGCACAACGCTACAAGAAACAGAGATGAGGTATTAGAAACATGAAATTTGCACACACATAAAAGCATATTTTAAATTTAATAATATGTCTTTCCAGTGACCTAGAATTCTATGATATATCCCAAGCTTTATCAAAATAAATTTCTCCCCTGTGCACAAAAAAATACATTAAAATTTTAAATAATATAAAATCCTATTCATTAATATAGCCAATTTAACAGCCAATATTTTCCAAGAACAAATATCTGAAGATTTTTCAATAATCATTTGCTTTTTAGATTCAAGACTTAGAAACAGAAAATATGGAACTTAAAAACAAAGTACAAGATTTGGAAAACCAGTTGAGAGTAACCCAAGTATCAACATCTCCAGTAAGTATACAGAATACGTACATCTTTTCCTTAGAAATAAGATTTCATGGTGATAAAACATGTCTGGATCATCAGCTCTTCAGTATTCCAAATAATACTCTGGGATCAGTCATTTTAAACTAAATGTAGATAGAGATACAAGGTGCTAAAATAAGATTAATTTAAACGTTAAAATTACCTAGGTAGCTCAGATCAGAGTTGTTTTTCCATGTTGCTCTTTTCTCTTTCCTAGAATAATTCAGCCCTCAATTTGATCTTTTCCTCTTTGTGACATAATCTTCTTTCATTCCAATTGATTACTGTTTACTGAAGTTGATTTAATGACTGAAGCCAATCTGCCCTTGGAGTACTGAACTTCATTATAGAAGCTGGACTGTTAACACAATCGAATTGGTTTCTTATATTACATAGCAAGGGCTCCTACTGGGAGTGACAGAGTTATATTTCACACACTAAAATCAGTGGTAGTCTCTGCAGACAACACTCAGTATTTTTATAGTTAAATTATTTACTTTTGCTTTATCACAGATTTGAAATCATTTTCTCATCTTGAGGTATGATGCCATTATTTTGTGATTTTGGCTAAGGGAATTTTTGGAGGGGAGATAGAATTTAAAACAGTTAATATTTTTTTCTAGGCAAAATATACTTAGGAATTTTATTCTCTTTTAGAATCATCTGTACTGATATTGTCCATTAAAATGTATATTTTATTTTACATTTAGAAATTTTAATATATAACTTTTGGCATGATCCTATGAACTGAAACACAATTATAGCATTTACAAACTTCTGAAAAGAATTTTTGTTGAAAATTTTCATTTGCAAGTCGATTTTGGTTCAATCTCTAGGCTAACTCAACAAAAACCCCTTAGTATATATATGTATATAAATATATTTATAGCTATCTACTATTAGAATATTTCACCAGTTCATTACCATGAAGAATATTTCTGTAAGAAGTTACATTTTGGGTTTTAAATTTGGTGTGCCCTGGAAATCGGTCAAAAAACATTTTTTTCTTCTAAACTCACACTTTTCCATCTTCCACACTGAAACAGTTGGTATTTCCATTGCTTGGCATATAGTTTGTGACAGTGGGGTTGAGATAGCCAAGGTGAGAGAGGTTGGGAGTGAGGTTCCAATGTTGCACAGTGTACCTCTGTAATGCACAGTGAGGTGCCAGAACATCCTCTTCAAGTTCTGGCTTTATTATAATATCACTCCCTGTGTTTTCTCTTTACTACGATCATTATTTGCTTCTCATCAAGATGATGATATTTTCTTGCCTTCTCCATCACAAGGAACAGAGCATCAGCTCAAACTGTTCAACCTTCAGTCCTTAAATGGAGCAACATTTTTTAGGTCTTGTTGAATGTCTTGTAAGCCATCCTGTGAAACAAATTAGGAGTATAAAGATAAATGAAGGAGAAGTTACTTTTTCAATCAGTCTTAATAAGGTAGTTTTTGCTGGAATTCATTGCATATGAAAAGTAGCTTTACTTCAGTCTTTATGTTTTCAAAGGAGTAAAAATAAGATCCATCACCATTTTGGATGCAAAACCAAAGCTTATTCATTATGTATCTTCTTTCTCTAGAAAGAGAGCTAGAGGTATCATGTTAAGGGGCATGGTAGATTTGGGTAGAGCAGAGAGGTTTGGGACATGTTGATAGGACATCACATCTGTCTTTTACCTCCTGAAAGCAGACACTGCCCTTGACTAGCACTGGGACAACTGAGAAGGTGGGTCAGGGTTGGGGTTATGTGTGTGCACTGGTGATCTCACATGGTTACCAAGTCAGCTTCAGAAATAGCAAAGGGCAGGAAGAATGAAGAAATGACACTCTCTTCAGTTTCCTGGACCCTCTGGCCTAGGTAGCCGTTAACAAGCTGTGAGCTTGAAAGTTGGTATATAAATGACCACAGACTATACGTGAGTATATTCATTTATTCAGCAGTTATCATTGGTAGAGTCAGTTATATAAAAAACAATAAAATTATTCAAATAGTCAATTATTAGAATGGATTAACTCTCCTAAAGTTGTCATTTAATAATTATCATAGGCATTGTGTTCGTCTCAGCACTGTCTCAATAGAATGCTTAAAAGACTATAACTAAAAGGTTGAATTAAAAAAAGAGAAATAATTTTCTCTAAATCATTCTTTTGGACTTAATACACATGTGTAGAAAATTTATTGCCTTATTGATCATTATGCAACTAGCTCAAATTATAACTTTGCAATCTACTTATATTCTTTCATCATAGTAATATCTTTGTCTATATTTTCTCTTTATTTTAACTTTTAAAAAATTACTTGTCTCATAACTTTTCAGCTCCTAAAGTCTCATTATGTGATTTTTGAAATTGCTGATGCATCTTCAAGATTAAAAAATAGAATTTGATTCTTAAAAGAAAGTGAACTCAACATTTTTAAACTGCTAAGAATACCTGATTAATTCAAATGGTTCTGAAGATGCTGTTATAGGTATTTATTAACTTGTTTTTAAATTTTTTTTGTAGAGAATATGCACAAATATTTTTTTTTGCCTTTCATTTTCAATTTTAGTTATGTAGCTGAGAAATAAATTAATATAACACTAAGTCCATCTATATTTCAACCTGTTAAAATGATCTCCCTTTTTTCTGATATTAAAAGTAAACTAAACTAACTTAAATTACCTATAGTTATTTAGTAAGTATGAAATATTGCCATGCTCTTAAATATCCACTCTGCTGAAGGTTTGTTAATGATTCAAACTATTGATATTGAACTTGAAAAATAATGAAAATTCCTAGTAATTAAAATATAAATTTATAATACATGTACCTCTTGTTTAATAGCTTGCAATGGGTATTCAGTAAAGCAAATTTCTATAAAGTTAGAAATGTTTTGCATACGTTCTTTCTTATGAAATGTGAGCATTAATTTTACAGGACGCACAGCAAGGACAGCAAGTACCTCACAGAGTCTAGCAAAATTCATGCACAGTAAATGACTGTTGGACGTATAACTCTGGAAATGAGATTCTGTAGGTTTTGTTTGTTTTTTTGCTTGTTTTTCTCTCAGAGGACTGAAGGCTAGAATGCTCCAAAATTGCTAAAGTTTTCAGCAGTTTGTTTAAAGGATTAGGCAGCAATTATATTAATTGAAGGAGCATGGAAGTAAATTATGAATGCCATTATGCACACTAAAGTTACAATATAGGTGGGTTTGTTAATAGGATTAATTTGTCTTTAGATTCTCGATGGGTTTTCAGTGTGTAATGGTGAGAGGAACCCCCAAGACAGATGACTCTTCACAAATGACCAGCCCAAAACAGGCCTTATTCTCTTGAGAGCCAAATTTTCCTAAGTTGCACAGAGGTAACTCTTTTGCCAACTCCAATTCAGAAGTGTTTCTCTATAAATAATTTACTACTACAATGTGGTTCATAAAAATAAGTACTTAATACAGTAATTTTCTGAAATATCAGAATTTGCTAGTCAGACAATATAGTCCACGTCAAACAATTGCTAGTCAAAGTAAAATAGAAGATTTATCTCTAATCCTAGCTTAAAATAGACTCTTTGAGAAGAGGGAGCAAAGAGAACAAAAGTAGGAATGGAATTTTGGGGGGTTTGTGGCATTAAAAGTAAAGTAGAAAATGAAAATTTTGTAAATTACTTGTATGGATGCTATTCTTCTTGTCAGTGTGTGATGAAATAGCAGATAGTCAGTTACGGGAAGAATCAGAAAAATAAGAAACATTTTTGGTAAAATTTGATTAGATAACTAAAAGGTAAAATTTGATTTGATTAGATAACTAAAAGGTAAAATTTGATTAGATAACTAAAAGGTCACACCAGCCATCTACCCTAGTAAGCAGTCCAAAGTTAAAGTTGAATTTCTGTAACATAGAACAATATTTCAAAGGATCAGGTCTTCTAATAAGAAATTTCAGTCTTATAGATATTGATTCTATTATTCTATATTAAATCATAGATTAAAAGTGTGAGGCCCTGTTGAGTAGAATCTTCCAGATGGAGAACCTTTGTACTCTAAGGAGTCACTGTGTAGGTGAGAACATAGATGCATTTCTCTAGTCTCCTCAGAGGCACCCGAAGGAAAGGTTGCTATTTCTTAGGTGCTAGCCTGCCAACCACTTATGTCTTATATACATCAATGTGAATTGGTCATTGATTTATTTTGAAGATGCAAACTAATTTTAGGTTCAAGCTTTTAAAGAAAATTTTCAAGAATCCTAAAAAGTTCTTTCAAAATTTACAATCGTGTAAATTTTAGTTTTGTTTTTATTTTTCCTAGTCCCGCTAAGTCATCACTGGTATTTTGAAATAGTAGCTTGGTGACATATTTTACATATTAAGATGCATATCACTTTGATTTTTATTTTCTCACATTTTCCAGTTGCATACATTTGATGTAGTTGTGATCCGTTATGGCAGCTTGTAACACATTTGTTAAACATCTTATATGACCATATGATATTCTAGGCCCTTGGGTTTTAGCAGTATATGAATTGCAGCTGCTATGAAACATAGTATAGGGAAAG